CTCAAAAGGATGAGTCAAACTTTGACCTATTTTTAAAGTCCTCCTGGGAAATGTATCTTTTACAACAGTTTCCTGGTGTTTCTGGTCTTTGCTCTTTCAAGCTCAACAGCATTAACCAGCATGGTGTTATTTATGGGACTTCATTGCTTTTGTGGATACACTGTAGGACTGCACAATCCTGGAGTAAAAACATTGCAATTGTTTTGTATTGTGATTGTAATTAAATTTGGAATACGTGTTTAAGAGGAGCACAGCGTAACATTCCTAGTGGGTCCAGGACCTGCTTATCTCCATGGAAATGCTATTGTTTTGTCTACAGTGTTCCACGGGATAGATTAAATAGCACTACTCTACATTACAATTCAGATCTGTGGAGAGTCGTCCCTATTCACAGAAGGAATCTTTTTGTATTTTTGAGCAATAGAAAAACCTGTAATGAATAAATGCTACATGGATATGTTTAATGTTATATCATGTAACATTCCAAGCAAAGCGATAATATCTGCATGGAAATAAGCAGGTGGCAGACCCTCCACCAGAAAAGTGCACTTTTAAAAATTAGTAAGCAACTGCAGTAAGCACTTTGTAAGCAACTGCAGTATCATTAACATTTGAGAGAAAACTGCAATATGAACTGACTGATACAAGAACCGCATGATTTTTAGAACATACATCTAAACTACGATAAAAATATGGGATAGTTTGTTCTTTGCAGAGGACAGTACATTATCTAAGTGCAGCCTTTGCGATTTGATAATTGTGTCAACTCACATTGTGATTGTCGATTTTGATATACTGTGCAACTCTAAAGCACTGCCTGTGGTACATATCTCGTACTGGCCGCGGAGGAAAGCCTGCCACTAGATAAGACCAGAGTACTGATGCTTGTGTCACGCCACTTGGAGCTTCACTGGGCCTTTCTAATGTTTGATTTGTTGTTTCTTTTCTTCATCTTGAATTGCAACTTGTGTCATTACTGCGCCCTCTGCTTTCGGGAGTACCTTAAGCCCTCTTCATTCTCTCTAATTACTTTGGATACTTCTGTAGCTTCCCCACCAGAGCAGCACTTCCTTTGATCCGGTTTGAGAAAGAGACACTGGCTGTGCATCCTTAAAGCAACACTGCGTAACTTTCTAGAGGTAGCACATCACCTGCTTTAATCCATGGAAATAATCAGTTAAAACCTTATTGGAATATTCTCCACTGAAAGAGATCATTTTAATGCCATACCGTGGAGTATTATAGCCAAAAGAACAACGTTACCATGGAGACAAGCCAGGCCAAATAAGAGTCCGTTTGAAGCCTAAATGAGTGGATTATACTGTGAAATGCTGTGTTAGAATCATTGGGAAATTAGGAGACTAAATTAAAATGAGTTAAATTGGAAGAGAAAAAAGGGGGTGGGGGTTTACTTACTCCCTTTTGGACATAAAACTAATTATGTAACAGTTGTGCACAAAATATTTATTTATTTATTTAGAACAACATTGCCATGGAGACAAGCCAGGCCAAATAAGAATCAGGTCTGTGGAGATGCAAGCCCATTCAGAGTACATTTTTAAAGGTACAGTTTGGAATTTTGGACATAGGGCCTCATTTCCTAGTTAGCCAGAGTGTTGGAGACGTGTGGAGACACTTTTTAAAATATTCCACCGAGTCCTTGTATTTGCAGAGGTCATGTTAGGCTACTGCATGTCAATGGCCATAGTCCTGCCACTAAAAACAGATTTACCCACTCCACAAAGCATCCAATGCAAATCTGTTATAACTCCAGATTGGCGATGTGAATGTCTGTGATGATAGAATAATGTTTGAAATAAAATTAACCTTGCATCGCATGAATCGTTGCATGTTGAGAGACTATTTTCTCATATATCAGTCTGCCGCTGCCAAGCGTTCTATCAGGAAGTACAATTTGCTGCTGCTGCTCTGACATAAATCCTTCAACTGCAAAGTTGGTTTTACTTATAAAATTATTCTATCAACACAGATATTCACATGGATAGTGTGGTGTTATAATTGTTTTGCTTTGGGTGCTTTGTGGAGTGGGTAAGACTGTTTTTATTGGCAGGTTAACTATGGCCATTGACATGCACTAGCCTAGCACCAGTGACCTCTGCAAATACAAGGATTGGATGGAATATTTAAAAAAGTGTCTCCACACATCTCACACTCTGGCTAACTAGGAAATGAGGCCCTATGTCCAAAATTCTGAACTGTCCCTTTAAGTTTTTCATTGGAATAAATGAAAACATCCCAAATGAAAAACACGCTTTATATTATCTTTAGATGTAAATGTACTAAAGCTTTGTGTAGATATAACAGATTTATATTTGAGTGTGGTTTTCAGTGAAGGCATAAAGACAAAAGCAGGCAGTTGTATATTCTCTGACACAGAGTATTCACCTGGCTCTCCTCCCACACAAACCTACACCATCATCCTCCTCCTCAGGCCCTCCAGCCCTCCTCACAGCTGACACACACACACTATTTAGTCATAATTCATTTCATCTTCTATTGTGCTTGCTTTCTCCGTCAGCTGGCTCTAAATCATTTTGTGATGAGCGTTTGAGGGCAATTTAATATAGCTGTAAACTTTAAACAACTCAAACGTAGCTGGATGAAACACAGTGAACAGCATGGGCCAGCACAATCACACAGTAATCAGCTTTTATTCATTCCCTGCCCAGAAGAAAACTGCTATAAAGAAACACACTATAGGGCTGGACCAGATGACAGAAAATGTAATACTGATTTTTTTCCCCTCGAATAGACTGATAACAATTTTCAATTTCATTTTGTCTTATTATAAACAAATAAAAATGGCTTTCAATATTAATTTCCCTCAACATAAACACAACAGACTTCATAACTACTATTTAAAGGTGCACTATGTAACTTTTCTGGTGCAAGATCCTGCTTGTCCATCTGAAGATATGATTGTGTAACCAAATTGCTTTGATATTGAGATTATGTTAAAATGTTTGAATGTTCTACAATATAGTATTAAACGTGTCCATCTTCATGAAAAGCAGATGATACCACTTATAAGTTACAAGGTCAGGTTTGTGGAGAGGCGAGCCCGCTCATAGTAAGAATACATATTTTTCAAGGCATTTTTCAGTTATAAAAAACTTAGAACTAAAATAGTGCCCCTCCTCTCACCACCACCAGAAAAGATACAAAAAACAGTCAATTTCTTCCTCCAAACTCTGCTCTAAACCACATGCTTTTATGACAGAGAACTGGCTAGACCTCTTGATTAAAAAGAGCCAAGCTGATCAATGACAATTAGAGATGACCGGATACTGATCTTGAGTAAAACTGTGTGACTACTACACAGAATGAGCGCTGCTACTTTTGTCACGCTTTTACCATACAGTTTTGTTACGGAAATGACTCAGGCTTGTCACTACATAGCTCACTCTTCCTTGTTTAAGCTCCCTTTCTCATTTTCTTTTCTCCATCCTATGTTTGCAGCAGAGTTTTGCTTTCCCTGCATTTCAATGACTACTAGATAACCCCACAGAAATGCCTAGGGACTGAGCATTAAGCCTGAGCTGCTATAGAAAGCTCCTTCACTGTCTCCTCTTGTTCTGTTGCATGTAGCGCAGTGTTTCATTATATGCTTTGCAATTATATCTTCATCCTCCCACATCATCTGAAAGCTCTAAACTTCTCATGTAACTGTGACAAAAATAGACATTTCATTCATTACCAGAATAGATTACCTCCACTAATCTAGAAACTGTCTTCTATAGACGTGTGTGGGTTGTGAAAGATGAGATGCAACCAGTAATGAGAAGTATAATTTGAAAATGGTTTGGTTACAGAATACGGAATGTCTGCATTAAAATATATATAACAGTCTCCATTACATAAGTCAATCAGTGTTCTGCATTCTGATATTATTTTCACTTTGAGTAGCCTTATTAGTATACTAGTGTAAAACAACATGTGAAACCACATTAATGATTCCTTAAATTATTCTAGTGAAGGTATATGGAGTTTAAAAACACTATGCATGGCTGTGTTACCACATGACATCACAAAGTGTTTTTGGTATGAGAGAAGAACATAAATTAAATACGAAGCATTAAACATGTGTGAATGAAACAAAACACAACTCCAGATCTGTCTGTGATGAGGAAACAACATTATAACATAGATCATAAATTGCGTAATATAGGCTCTTTAAGGAAAAGAGCAGTGTTTTCTGTGCAGTTTGAGGCCCAAATGTGTCATTTATACTGTGAAATATCATGAAAGAATTAGCAAATGATGACTCTAAATTAAAATTAGTGAAATTGGAAGAGTAGAAAAAGGGGTGGGGTTTGACTTTCTTCGACTCTCTTTGGGACATAAAACTTATTATGTAACATTTGCTTCAGTTTGCTTGAGTACAGAAGATGTATTTATTTAGTTATTTATGTGATATGTGCATTTATGTTATTTCTCTGTGGTTGATGAATTCATGTCTGATTCATTGAATTCTAATTCTATGATAAAGTACAGCATTTCATTTTAGAAAAGTAATTGTATTCTGACATTAAATGAAAAAGTAACTGCACCAAAATACAGTTATGCAAAATTTGTATTCTGTATTAGTATTTCTTTTTTTTTTTTTTTGGTAGATGTATTTAGTTACCTCTCAACACACAAGCTTAATAGAAAAGACTAGGCCTGTCACAACAACAAAATGTGAAGTGTGATATATTACTGAAGTAAATATAAGCAATAACCCTAAAGCAGGATTACCCCCAAAAAACTATCCAAATGTACAATGTGGTTTAAAAACACCAACTGCAATAAATAAACAGCAGAATGAAACACTTACTCGTAGTTAGTTTCTATAATGAGTCATAGAAGTTATTTACTAATCCCTCTAAAGCTCAAATCTTATCGTCTTATAGTCCCCGCAACAAATATTGACCCCCAAAGTATAAAGTAATTATCATGACAGGCTTAGAAAAGAGCAAATAAAGGTCACTGTCACTTACATGGTCTCGTCATTCTGAAACTCCAGTTTGCCTGACACCTCTTCGTAGTCCTCTCCAGCTTTGGCAGTGCCCTCGATGGTGTGGTAGGGCACTGCCACCTTTCCTCTCGCTCCAGATGTCCGATGGACCTTCACCTGCATGTTCCCCACACTCTCGCTCACTCTTGTGCTGTCACTCTCAAAGGTAAAGATGCCAGCGTGGTCATCGTCATATATGGTCACCGTGGCAGTGTGCGCCTTGCCCAGAGCGGCTTTGGGGGGCACATGAGAGGAGATGCCCACCATGCTGTTACTGGATGTGATTGAATTGGGTTCGAGGAGGGAGACTTCTGCTCGGTGCACGATGCGCGGGTTACTGAGGCGGACGTAGAAGTGCTCGTCTTCTTCAAAAATGTCATCATCTATGACACCCACTGTGAACTCTTTTGTTGTCTCACCAGGTTTGAAGACCAGAGTCCCCTCTGCAAACTCATAGTCAGAGCCAGCGTTGGCAGTCCCATCCTCTGTGCGGTAGTCCACCTGTGTAGCAAAAATATCGAATAAGAAATGTTATTAGAAAATCTTGCCCTGAGCTGTTAAACTTAAAGGGGACATATTATGAACAATTGACTTTTATGAGCTTTTAACCCTGTTATAACATCAGAATACTCAAAGATATATTCATCCATGTTTGAGTATTGCTGTACTGTCCTGCATTTGAGGCTAGACTGCTCACATCAGTTTTCACCTACCCCTTATTCTGGCCTACTTCTCTGTAATTACTTGCAATTATTCATACATGTAGGGTTAAAAAATTCAAATTAAATATCACTATATATACAGTTTTGAACAGGAAGTCAGTGGACCTGTTTCTATTTATATTTTAGATCAATATTGCAGTTTACAATGAACAAATTGTAAATTATTGATCTGATATAGTTTAATTCTAAAAGCATAATATGTCTTCTTTAAATTTAACCTTGAGTACATACACTTTCCCATTACTTACCTTTACAGTACAGCCGCTCTCTCCTCCATGCCTGCTAACCGTCAGCTTCATAGAGCCACAGTTTTCAAAGCACTGGTAATGGGAGGGATCAAACTGTAAGTAGATCGTGTTAGGGTCTTCTTCTTGACCACTGGCCTCGTGACAGCTCACCACTTTCCTCGCTTGATCTGCTGCGTGCTTTTTCAGTATGTTTCCAGCTCCAATCATCATACGTGTGGCTTGAATACGATAAAAGGCTCTGCTCTTCTGCTGCTGCACCAATACTTGATAGTTGGCCATCTCAATTAACTGCTCCATGTCTTTCTCTGGGTGCCTTTGCTTTAACTCTTTCAAAGTACGCGCCATTTCACGCCTGGCTTCTTCTTCCTGATCTTGCTCTGCGCTGGTCCCTCCTCCCTCCTCCACTCCTTCCAACATCCCATCTAAAGCTTCTTTGGGATGGGTGTGTGAATTCACCCCTTGCCCGTCCATCTCTAGGTCCATCTTTGTAAACATGGCGTCGCCCTCTGATTCGATGATGATGCCTCGGTTTTTGTCGGTGCGGTACCTCTTATTGACGTATTTATAAAAGAGCAAGCGCCTGTCTGCGATCCAAGCTTGTAGCACACATAAGGGGAAGAATAGGAAGGTGAGCACCGCCTCCCAGACATCCACCACCCCAGGCGTAGACACAGACAGAATAAGATAAAGCCAGATATATGCAAAAATGCTCCAGGCCGCTGTGACAAAAAACACCCTTAAGTGCTTTATCTTGCGAGTCTCGCTCTCTGGAACTACGTAAACACAGATAGCAATGATAATGAACATGTTGAAAGCAGCACTACCCACTATAGTGCTTGGCCCCAGTGCGCCCGCTTCAAAATCATGCCCGACCACCTCAATAACAGACAGGAGGATCTCAGGAGCTGACGAACCAAGAGCCATGAGGGTTAAGTTGGACACAGTCTCGTTCCAGATTCGTACCGTAGTCGTAGTGGTCTCTCCGTTAGGTTTTTTGATCGTGATTTCTTTTTCCTGAGAGGTGATGACTTCAATGGACGACATGAAGCGGTCTGCTATAATGGACATACCCAGGAACATGTAGATAAGAGCTGCAAAGTAAACGATAGCACGCGCTACTTTGTCCCCCACAGCCGGGTTCTGAGGGTTCCAGAGGGGCAGGACCACACCTTCGGAGCAGTTGTCTTCACTGGAACAGTTGGCTGGTGGATGGCCAGTGTCGTCGGGACTGGCACTGCCCTGGGACAAGTGGGTTACCCCTGGCAACAAAACCAGCAGAATGGAAACGAACATGCCCGGGCACGAGGGCAGAGGGCATTTCAGGAAACTCTTGTGCTTCAACATGGTGGCTGGGTGAGCTTCCTCTTCACCTGTTCACATGTGGTTGATCATAGCAGTCTGTGGGAAACATAAACAGAAATAAAAAAAATTATTAAATGTGGACTATAAGGTTGTGAAAATTGAACACACAAAAATAGCCACTAGTTACATACAATCACGGTAATATTTTGGCTAAATATCAAATATCTGTATTTGTACTTGTATTAAACAACTCTTATCTGCCATAAGCCCTAATAAAATAATGTTTGCCTTTTTTTTTCTTTTTCTTTTTTTTTTTTTTAAGTTTTATAAATATTACACACAATGTAAAGGATGCGACATTTGTGAAGGAGAATCTGGCTTTTTTCATAGATATGTTTTTGCCAATAATGTTACACAGTATGGAATTAAATTTGTTCATGGAGAGAAGCAGCAACCAGTTTACCAGTCAGATCTTTAGAGAGGTGAGCCCACTCACATCAAGAATGTTTATCAACAACTCCTGTAATTCACTAAATAAATGACAGATGCATTTAAGGACATATGGTGGAATATTCTAGGCAAAGCAATAACATTTCCATGGAGACAAGCCAGAACCTCCACCAGAAAAGTTACATATTTCACCTTTAAGCCCACTCATTAAAATGTTTTTGGCTGTTATAAAATAAACAAATCATCTGTACTGAAAAACCTTATCTAACTCCCACAGATAGCGTGGCTTATTTGTGTAGGCCAATGTAGAAAGGGTTACTCTCTTCACCTGGATTACAGGAGAAGCTGTGAGTCAGTCCACTCTGTATGTACTGTAGAGCGGGATGGAGGTCCAAAAATAATCCTCCCTAACAATGAAAATGATGAGAACTGAGCTGCTCTTGGTACACAACCTTATTTGTAAAATTATTGTACAATTCATTCCAGTAATGTGTGTTGTATAAACTTCCATCTCTAGCAACAAAAGGCTGATGTGATTGTGGTTACACAAACAGTTAAATAGATAATACCAATAACCCGATAACTAGATCTGATTTTAGTGTTTACATGCGCAAAAGAAATCCAGTCATCTAAAACAGCTGATGACATATGTTTGCGAAGAGTTTTTTTTAGAGTAAACTGTTGCATTTGAAACATAAATACAATTGATTTTATAATAACTCTTCCAATCATTAACATTTAGTCTTTCATTCGTCATCAACCACATACCCATTTTTTCAGATTTTGTTCTTGTCAAAATCTGCACAGTTGCTCAGAAAGAAACCAGATTCCTCCAGTTACATGTAACTGTTAACATGACATTTCAATAATCTGATAACTCCAGTAATGAGATAATGATCAGATTTTCAGTGTGCATGTAGCTGCAGTCAGTGTCTTACAGATTCAGATACATTCGGAGTTTCTTGTCTGCACTGTGGCCATCACTGTTACGCTTGTGCCTCCTCAGAAGACACATCTGCACCGCGTGAGAGCACTAAAACAGAAAACGCCAGGAACGTAATGTGGTGCTTCTAATTAATATTTAAGACCATGTCAAAAATAGGTACAGCGGGAGAAATCTGACAATGCTTTATATGAGCAGCTACATGCTCTCATTGACATGCAGCAGAGACAAGCAGTAATCTTCTCCCTAACCTGCATAACAAGACTGCCCGTTCACCATCAACGTGTTATAATGACAATGGAGCAAACTGTCACCTGAAATTAAAGGTGCACTGTGTAACTTTTCTAATGGGGAGATCACTACCTTCTTGTTTCCATGGAGATGTTTTGCCTAGAATGTTCCACATATATACTATATATATATATATATATATATATATATATATATATATATATATATATATATATATAAAATTCTTGAGAATACCTTTCATATTTTCACTACATATCTGACCTGTAACTTGGTCTGGTCTGCTTGTTTCCATGGATATACATTTAAAGCTATACTGTGTAATATAACTGCACTTTTAAAGGTCCTATATTGCACAAAATGGATTCTTGTGAGCTTTTAGTCACGTTAAAATGTTGTTACTTCATCAGAAACATGGAACAAAACTGGAATTGCTGGATTTTTCATTCACACATGTTTGAATAATCTGATTTTATTAGTTTGTCTACATCTCCAAAGCTCAAAATGCTCTGTTCCACCTTGTAATGTCATAAAGATGTAGTTTTCAAGTTAACAGCTACATTTTACATATAGTTCAGAAGAGATTAACATTTCCAGGGCTGAAATGATCCAAATGACTCTGGTGAAGGTGTACGGAGTTTAAAAACACACTGGAGCACTTCCTGCAGTACCACATGACATCACAAGGTGGAGTAGAGTGTTTTCTGTTTGAGACATGAACTCTAAGCTTAAACATGCAGGGTTTGTGTGTTCAATATGTGTGAATGAAACAAAACATAACTCATATTTTTGATAAGGAAACAACATTATGGCATAGATTTGAAAATAGCATAATATAGGCCCTTTAACTTCTCATTTTTTATACAAATTGTGTGTGTCTGGCTTATTACACACTGAGGGGCTAAACACTTCGCTGCCAATGTCTTTGAAGGCAGATCAGCACCATGGAGAGCGCCTTCACTTCACTCACAACAAGCAGTGGGTATGACCTTCCCTCTGCCTCTGCTCTGTGTGCTGTATTCAGAAACCAGTTGGCTTGGAAGATTTAAACAAGATGAATCACTCGCCTTATACATCAGCAAGCCAAGATGACAGGACTTTATGTGTAGAACCAAATACGCACTCAATGTGGCTTACAAAATCTGCGTGAGTGGGTGATGTAGGCTATCGTTTCTATGGTAAAGCAAGCTCTCTCCATTTGAAGAGAGAAAACCCGGCATGATGAGATAGAAATGTTGATGTGATATCTTGTAATTCTGCGCCAAGAATGGAAAAGTTTACAGACAAACTTCAAAGACTGGAAGTTCTGACCTCTTTGCACAACATACGCTCTTCTTCGACAGCTGTGAAATTAAATCTTGATGTTGCCTTTTTAATAACACAAGCTCCCAGCATATTTTAATTCAAATTTCTCATCACACAGTAGTTTATGAGGATTTTCTAAATGTAAAACAAAACTGGTTTTAGCATAGACCTGACAACACTGGTTTATATGTGTGATTGGAAAGCACAGGTTTGAGATTAGCACAATGACTCACACAGAAGGCAGTTGTTAGAGCAGAGAAGAGACGCTGTAGAGTTTGACTGTTTCAAATGATGTCAGCCTCCCTTTTGAATGCTATGGGAATTGTCACGGGAATTTAACCAGCAAACAATGAGCAACATTTAAACGCGTTGACCCTGCATCAAAATGGTCCACAGAAGATAAAGCAAACAAGCATGAGAGTACACGAATAATGGTATAGTCTATAGTATGCATTGTTTGATCTAAGTCGGATCTGCATCGCTTACCTGCAGTTTTTGTGAGTCAGCTCAGTGGAAGTTCTGGCCCCGGGAGATGAACTTATCGCTGATATCACTGTGGGAAAGATATACATAAAATCCACGGTAAATCAAACATTGACACAATAACCCAACAAACACAAAACAAAATTCCGATACGGCCACGTTTCGGGACCCAACAAGAAGCCAAAAGAATACAGGGAACATATGTAATGGTCCAATCGGTGCGCACTGGTGCCAAATACCCCCAGACGCCGTGGATCGCAGCTGAACCGTGGATGCATCTTACTTACCGTGGCTTGGTCCTCTTGCACCCGTCCACCGTGAACAGACACCTCCTGATCCATGCACACCACTCAAACAGCTCCAACGTAATGGCTTGTTGCGCTGGTGTCTTGTCGCTCATCCACTCTGTTCTGACTATTTTGCTCCCTCCTCTCCTCCTCTGACATACTCTACATCAGCAAACTTGCAGAATCTTCCCGTTTTTCTCTTTAAATTCGCCGAGCTTTCACAACGGCAACGCCTCCCTTAAGTATAAAGATGCGCCTTCCTCTTTTGGCTACAATAGGTTGCTGATGCGTAAAATGAAAACAAATAAAAAGATAAAAAATGAAACGACTGCCCCCATCGTCCCGCTTGGATCAAATCTTCAAAGTAGTTATATTCAGACACGCTACTGTGACCTGGGCTGAGCAAAAGAGGTGCACATGATAGTAGGCGTGCATGAATGGACAGACGCACGGCACACGGACACTATGGTAATGAAGCAGAGCGAAACACATAAAAAACAGGACCGAGTGGTGTTGTGGGAATGCAGTCAGTGGATGTTGTCTTACTTTGTGGTGCTGCCCGCTACTGTGGCACAATTGAGGCAAGAGATGAGCGAAAGGGAAAAAGAAAAAAAAGGTAACACTGCAGAAACAGGGGAGGAGACGTTCGCACACACGGCCGGTGCTCCAGACTGCGCATCAGGAGCCCAGCAGTCAGCAGAGGGGCTCTCCTCAATCCTCGCACCGGGATGGACCTATTAGTGTAATAAACCGCGAGTCTCTGCACTTAGATAGAGGTTTTATGTACGATCTTGACCAAGCTATTAGCTGCACTTTAAAGAGACATGTTCATTGCCAAAACCACCAGTAAAACACTTTACAATATTTGACTATTGCGTTTAGACAGACTCTCCATCCTGTCTCTATTTCTGTATATGCGCAGTGTAATTTGGCAGGTTCTCTACACTTAGAATATTAGTTAGACTTTAACTATTAGTGCTATGTAAAGAGCTGGACGATTAATCAGAACAATTGTGAGTAATCAACTACAAAAATAATGCATTATTTTGTTTAATAATTGTTAAATCTGGACTATAGTCACATGCCAAACCTATAAATCATGAAAAACAGCAGCATGATTTAAACTTAAAGGTACAATGTGTAACTTTTGTGGTGGAGGGCCTGCTTACTATTTGTCTTCATGGAGATGTTATTGCTTTGCCTGGAATGTGCCACAATATGGTATTATGCTTAGTTATTTCCATTAGAACAAGCATGTGACGCCACCAAGCTAA